CCCCCCCCCCTCCCCAGCGCGTTGTCTGCTAAGTCACAATATATGTACTGTATTTTTAAAAAGGAAGGGTCGACCGGCCATCATTTGCCGACTCTTGTTACCTACGGCTTCACGACAACGGACAGGAAATGCAAGAAACAGGGCGATGCACACGGGGCTGTATATCACTAGTCACGTCTCTCGACTGAAGCAGTCCAAAACGTAAAAAATAAACTACACAAAACGAATCATTCATGCAACAATCACGGGGGGCCCGAACGAACATTACATACGCTCACACACGCCGAAAATCCTCCAGAGCAGCTAGGCAACCACAATTCAGACTAGTCGGCTCCTCCGCAGACTATATGGGAATCAGATCCCTGTGGGCATAGAGTGCGCAGTATTACTATCTCTACGATCTAATCATCGGCCACAACAGCCTTCAGGAATCCTTTCAAACAACAAAACAACAACGACACCCCCTTCGGCTCTCAAGGCCGGAACACAAAGTACTCGATCCCATGCATGTAGGGAAGTGCTACTCCCATATCCCCCCTACATCCATGGCAATATGTATCTGTACAATACGCTTTGGGTTCGCTTTCGGTTCTCGTTCCATTTGTTTACGCATTCAACAATCTTTCGAGTTATTACCGGGTCCGCCCGTCTGTACTCTTTATTCGGGTTTTGTAATTGTACTTCCACTGTTTTTCGGGTACCCAGCCTTTGGCCACGGAAGGCGTCCGGGTCGGTTTGACCAGTAATGGAACTGAAGCACGCAGACAAGGGGTTAGGCTAGGAAATCGGACGTCGCTGCTGGGGAGCCGTTTTCCTGCGCGCCGAGGTCCCTCAGGGCTCGCTGCCGCTTCTTGGCGGCGATTAAGTTCTTCATGGAGTGTTCCTCGGTGCCCTTGATGGTGTTGACGCCGTTCATGATGACGATGATGGTCACGTCGTCGTTTTCCATGGCCACCAGACCCTGAACGTGCGTTTACATCATACGGGAATTGCACCAGTCAAACATAAAACACAGCAAGAGACAACGAGGAGAAACGAATTCATGCATGCGCCGTACATATCGCACGTGGGTAATATAGCGTTTCATTACCCTTGTGTATAAAGGTCCACATAAGTACTTTCGAAACAACGGCAGAACGACGTTGTTACTAAAGTGCCAACAAGAACAAACAATTTTGTCGCGCGAAAGACTGCCCGTGCATACAAGATATGCGGGAGGACACAAAACAGCGATCAAAAAGTAATTTGTACATGGTCTGACAAGACCATCTGGGGATGGGGGGGGGGGCGCCTACCTACCCTCGTTAAATTGAACACACAGACCACGACAAGGACACAGGCCTACAGCACACACACGAAGCGAAGCTTCCAAAAGACATCAAGAAAACGGGCGTCCACCTGAAGCAGCTGGGGTGTGATGAGGATGTACTGCTTGCGGCTGGGTCCGCAAGAGTTGAGCACGATGCGGCTGAACACCTGCCTCTAGTTCTTGGGGTCCATGCCCTGGTTGATTTCGTCCACCGCACGGAACGGGCTGTGCTGCAGATCCTGCGAGGCATTCATGCGGTCATTCGCAGAGAAGTGGTTGACAACCAAACGAATGCATGGAGGAAAGGAAAGGGAACGTATTATAGAATGAATAGATGTCCGATACCGTATTCATACCCTCCCTTCCTTCCCCCTCGGCCTGCTCCCCGGTCGCGGCCGAAATCGACTTAAAAGAGTCCCACGCGGNAGCACCGCTCGCGGGAGAAGGGAGACGACCGCGGGCACCGCGGGGAGGGAGTGCTGCACCCTCCTCGTCAAAACACCACAGGCAAGAACCGAGCTCTGCAGAGATGGATTGATGCGAGGAAACTCGCCGCTCGGAAAAGACGGAAGAAAGCACACCCGCAACGCGAGGCGGACCAAGAGAGACACGAGACCGCAGCGGCCGTCAAGGCGACTGCCAAGAAAAAGGAACGGGAGAGCGACCTATCGTTCGGCACGTTCGNCACAACAGATAGTAGACGGGTGGTGTCCCAAGGTGCAACTCACCGCCGCGTGGAGGTACACCTACAATCCCTGCAGCACGTTTGCGTGCTCACATCTGACCTTCACGCCCACACACTGCGGGGAGGGAGTGCTGCACCCTCCTCGTCAAAACAACACAGANAGCACACCCGCAACGCGAGGTGGACCGAGAGAGACACGAGACCGCAGCGGCCGTCAAGGCAGCTGCGAAGAAGAAGGCACGAGAGGGCGACCTATCGTTCGGCACGTTCAACGTACGCACGCTCGCCTACAGCGGTAGGAACCCCATCGGTCACAACGTGATGACGGTCATGCAGATTTGTTCCGCGACCGGCTGTGATGTGATAGGACTTCAGGAGACCCGACGAGAGGGGCAAGGTTCAATTGCACACGACGGGTACGTCATAGAAGTGGCGCCCGTGCTAGCACCAAGGACAAGAGAGGCGTACATGGTGTGGGCATAGCGATCAAGGAGGCCATGTGGGAGAGTGTGGGCGAGGAAGGTAGGACGGTGGAGTGCATTAGCCCGAGGCTGATGAAGGTGCGTCTACAAATTGGCCGCACCTGCGGAGTAACTTTCGTGGTGGGGTACGCCCCCACGGAAACTGTCCGCACCACCGCGGGCGGTGATGTTAACGCCAAGGACTCCTTCTGGACTGCTCTCGACGCAGCGATCCGGGAGGTTCACAGCCGTGACCATCTCGTGGTGCTAATGGACGCCAACGCACGCACTGGTAGGAGGCGAGACGGGTGCTGCGATGCCAAGATTGTGGGCGCGTACGGAAGCGACATTATGAACAACAACGGGGGATGAGTCCTTGGACTGGCATCAGACAACCAACTCTCCCTGGCCAACACCTACTTCCAGACACCGAAAGGTGGAGTGCAGCATACGTTCCAGAGCTCCAACAAGGGGAAGGAGAAGTACCGCCTCGACTTCATCCTCATGCGTCAGGCGGACCGGCGTTTCGTGCGCAATGTCTCCGTCAAACGTGTCGACTTCAAAGACTCTGACCACAACCTCGTGCTTACGACTGTCCGCCTCCCCCCCCGTGTCGCACCCAACCGACGAGTGCGGGGGAACAGCGGAAGCAGCCGGATCCGTATCGACCTCGAGCGGTTGAGGAAGGACAAACACCTACGGGTCGCCTTCCAATACAGGGCCTCCAGCCGCCCTCCGCCCACGGCGCTCAGGCGGCCAATNTGTCGACTTCGAGGACTCTGACCACAACCTCGTGCTTACGACTGTCCGCCCCACCCCCCGTGTCGCACCCAACCGACGAGTGCGGGGGAACAGCGGAAGCAGCCGGATCCGTATCGACCTCGAGCGGTTGAGGAAGGACAAACACCTACGGGTCGCCTTCCAAAACAGGGCCTCCAGCCGCCCTCCGCCCACGGCGCTCAGGCGGCCAACGGGAGAGACCGCCGCCGAGCTGACGGCTACGGTGATGTCGGCCGCTGCTGAGACCGCGCCGCTGGCGAGGTGCGCACGAGGGCAGAGAGGCTGGTACACGAGCGAAGCGCAGCACGAGATCTCCGAAGCGTCGAAGGAGATTAAGGCGGCCCAGCAGCAACTGCGTGGGGCTTCAAAGAACAGCGCCTTCGAGGCGACCCTGAAGGCGATGCTCAAGGCGGGGCGGAAGAAGCGCAGCATCGCTAGATGGAGAGCACTGGAAACGTTCTTCGAGGGCTATGTGCGGCAGCTCGAGAAGAAGAGCCGCTAGGGGGATCAGGCGGGTTTCTACACGCACCTGAAGATGATCGACGTCGAAGGTAAGAGGTCGTTCACCTCTCAGAACATCAAGGACGAGGACGGCAAGGTCCTTCGGGACCCCACGTTTATTCGCCAACGGTGGGCACGGTGGTTCCACAAGCTTCTCAACACCAAGTCGCCGACCATCGACCTGCATGCGGCTGACAAGGTCAAGCGGTGGCCCACGTGCGTGCCACTCGACGACATCCCATCTCTACTTGAGGTTGAGGAAGCGGTACGGGAAATGGCCAACAGAAAGGCCGTCGGGCCGGACGACCTACCGGCTGAGCTGATCAAGCTTTTCCTGGACGGAGATCAAGGTCTCATCCGCGAATTCCACGCCATTTTCGTGGACGTGTGGCAGACGGGGGACGTACCACAGCAGTGGAAGGATGCCACCATCGAAGTGCTGTTCAAGAAGGGGGACACGATGGAGTGCGGCAACTACCGGGGCATCTCTCTCGTCGCACACACCGGCAAGGTGCTGCTTAAGGTCGTCGCTACACGACTGAGCCACTACTGCGAGCGAGAGGGCATCCTCCCGGAGGAGCAGAGCGGTTTCCGCCCACTCCAGCGGCTCCATGAGCTCGCGAGGAAGAAGAGTACTGCGGTGTTCGCGTGCTTCGTCGACCTCACCAAGGCATACGATTCGGTGGACCGAGACCTGCTGTGGGACGTGCTCCACCGCTTCGGCGTGCCCCCGAAGATGCTGGCGGTCATTCGCCACTTCCACGAGGGCATGAGGGCGCGCGTCCGAACGGACGACGGGCGGTACTCGGAATGGTTCGACGTGGGCATGGCCTCCGACAGGGATGCAACCTAGCCCCGCTGCTGTTCGATTTGTTCTTTGCCGCGGTGCTCATGGTCGCCGTGGCCGAGTTCGGGACGGACCCCAAGGTGACGGCGGACATGGTCAAGATAGGGACACGGGACACGGGACACAAGTACACGGGCCAGAAGGGCAGGTCGGCGGGGAAGACGACGACGGTGGTGACGGGCGCGGAGGCCCTGTGGGCCATGCGCTACGCTGACGACGCGGCCATCGTCTCGCGCTCGCCGGAGTCTCGAGAAGATGATGTCGGTCATCGTGCGCGTGGCCGGCCTGTTCAAACTGATGGTATCGGAGCCAAAGACGGAGATCATATGCATGCTGCCGAAAGGGATCGAGGAACGCCCGTTCACGGTCAGCGCCGCCGGCCAGACGTACAAGCAGACAGATCGGTTTGTGTACCTCGGACGTACCATCTCCGCGGACGGGAAGGCCGACCGGGGGAGATCACGAGCCGCAGCTGCCGAGCGTGGAAGTGCTACCGCCGGAACAGCGCTTCGATGTACGACAGGTGACGGGCCGACCGCCAGCTCAAGATCCGGCTACTCCAGTCGAGACTGAAGTGGCGGAGACTCCCCTATATGGGTGCGCCTCGTGGAGCCCAACAGCGGAGCACTTCACGAAGCTCAATGGGACCCACTGCCAGTTCCTTACACGGTGCATCGGCTGGAGCAAGCGGAAACGCTCAGACCGCCCCCTGTCCTATGCCCGGGCCCTCATCCAGGCCGGCTGCGAGGAAACCATCGAGGCCACCGTGCGCAAACGGAGACTGTGTTTCGCGGGCTTTGTTATGCGCATGGAGGACAGCCGCCTCCCCAAGCGCATGCTGTTAGGAGCGATGGCGGGGGGCGTGGGATGCCGGGGCGGGCAGGAGAGCGACTGGGTGTCTCGTCTAGGAGAGGACCTCGTGGCCTTCAACATGGGAGACGAAAAGGAAGGGGGGAAATGGAAAGAGAGCGCCAAGGACCCGGAGGTGTGGTACAACAAGGTCGAGGACGGGGCGGCATGGTTCATGAGGAAATGGCACGGGCAGGAGGCGGAAGCGTCCGCGAAGCGCCAGCGCGCGCGGGAAGCAGAAGCAGAGAGTACGACCATCTCAGGACCGAAGAGAAAGAGAACCGGCGAAGCGGCGGTGGGGGGGAAGAAACGGCGAACGGGCACTGCTGTAGAAGCGAGTAGGGCGGCCGAGGTAGCACTTGTGGCGAACTATGTACCCGGCTGATGTTGTTGCGCCCTGTTTCCCTCCCTGCTGTATGCTATACTCCTTTATGTATGTCCTTTGTATTGCCTTCGGCCTCTGTGCTGTGTTTCTTTTGTTTATGTCCTCCCTGCCTACTCTGCCGTGTGGGTACATTGATCTCCCTTTTGCTGTTGCTTTTGTTTTTATACATCTGGCTGCCTGCCCATCTGCCGCCTCTTTGTTCTGTTGGCTTCGTTGCTCCCATGCCCTGGTGCGTAGTGCCTGGTGCTGGTATGTTACCCTTTGATTTTTCAGGCGGTTGTGGGAAGCGTCCTCCTATATTTTTGTCTTTTGTTATATTTTGATCGGTCTCCGAGGGCTCTTTTCTCGACCGGTCGGTTCGGTATTAGTTGTTCTTTTCTTTCTGTCATTTTGTTTTCTTTTGACGAGTGGTTTGTACCCTATTTTTGTTTTTGTTTCCCCGCGGCGTCGTTTGTGCCGGGTTTTGAGACCACGGGCTCCCCATTTTTTGTGGACTATAGAGCCAATGTGAGAAACAACAACAACAACAACAACAACAACCCTGCTTGCAGTATTTGGTGCCCTGCTTTCAAATAATACACGGGCTCGAACCAAGCCCCCAAAACCAAACGGAACAGCCGTGCAGTGATGCCACTTGCCCAAAAGCACGGCCCGAAAAATCAAGACCAAACGAATCCATTCCAGTTCAAAACAACCATGTTTTCAACAAACCACCGACCCCATCGACCCATGCAACCATCAGCGTACCAACAAACACGACCAACTTATCCCTCACAGCTGTCAGTTTCCGCTGAAGTTCGGCCAGACGCGCGACCCATCCCGTCCCACCAAAACTTCCCTTCCCTTGCCTCACCTGCAGGGCCATGAGGAAGAGGGTGGTAGACACGGACCGCTCGCCCCACGAGTGTACCCGTTGGTTCAGCACCGCCACCTTGCCCCCGTCCGCCTCCGATCGGAATCGCACCCTGATTTCGATCCCCCACTTCTTGAAGGACGACTCGTCCTCAGCTAGCCTGACCTCGCCACCGCATCCGTCCATCTTCGACATGTACCTGGTATCGTGATCGCTATTGTTGTCATAGCAAGGCTACGGAGTGTTCGTGAGCGTTCAACAGGGAGGTTCGCTACAGTGACTTAAGTAGGTACAGTCTACAGCAAACATGTTTCAGAAACATCAACAACACTGCAATCAGAATAACACTCACTCCATGAAGAGGTCGTTGAGTCGGTCAACCACGCACTGCAGCTTCTCCTTCCACGGAGCGTTGATGCTGTTCATCCTCTTGCTGGCGTTGGCGTTGGCGTTGCCCTCGACCAGCTCGCTCAGTGCTTTCCGCACCGCGACTGTCTCCTCTTTCAGCTGCAAATATTTCAATCATACAGAAGCAAATTAGATAACATGCAGCGCAGACCGTTAATATCATGCAACATGCGATCCTGCAAAAATCCCAAGGAGTAAAATCACTTCATTATTTCCCGCCGTACCGTGCTCCACGAACACCGTTATCTTGATAATGTAAGCGCACAGTCAAAAACATCAACAGATACTTCGTCCTCTGCCTCAGCAGTCCGCGAGCACCCGCTTGCTACGCCTGCCATACCAACGTCTGCCGGTGTCAAGCCATTTGCAACCACCACCCGGGAAATTGTGCACAGACTTCTTAGGCAGGGTCAGAATCGAAACGTTCCGTGTTTGGGTAGCCTGTCACCGTTTGAGCGAGGGGCAGCAGACAACGCCAATGGTAAGAAAAAGGGCCAAGAAAACGAGGACATGTGGATAGACTGATCGACGCATCTCAAGCACAAGCGACAAGCGTACTTGTTGTTGAGTTGCGGGTTGTGGACAGAGCCACTCGGGTCTTCCGTCAGGTCTTCGATCACGGCATCCAGCTACTCCATGTTGTCGGGCAGGTCGTCGTACTTGTTCCCGAAATCGGTCAGACGTGGCTTATCATCACCGATCCACCGCGGCGCCAAATTTTGGGCCTTGTTTCCCTCAACGAGATACTGCAAAAGAGACGGAAATAATTGCAAAAAAATGAAAACATACGCCGTCAATTGGACCTGCACGTACTTTTGAAGGGAACGTGCAGGGCAGAGAACGGCGCGGTTATTGGCGCAACAAAAATGACAGTCACAACAAGTCTCGGATTGGAACAACGAAACGGGGCTCGAAGATGAAGAAAAGCGCATGCTACACGACTCGAACTATAACTTGGAAGTTGAAGCTGAAAGTTTTCGATTTGCTCCACGTCACACAATCCTTCCGAGACTACAGTACGTACGTACGAGATGTGGTCGCGAATAAAAGGCGGGGAGGTCAGTCACCCTCTAGCCGGTGAAGTCGCGCGACACAGAAAAAATACTCGACTTGGCTCATACTCTGAACGGTGCCAGATGCCCGGTATATAGGCCGGCCAAATCCCTTGGCACTTTGCGGCCGTATATCTACGTATGTACAGGGACAGGGACCACCACCCCACAACTGTACGGGGAAGGGACTAAGACCAAGTATCGTATCGGTAAACCATGTGCACAGGCTATCCCACACTCATCACAAAACAAGCACCTTGTTCGCCAAGCATTCTTGCCGTTTGCCAATGAAAAACCAATAAAACAGCATCAGTACTTTCAGACAACACGCACGCCCTCACTATTACGAGGTGGCCACTCTGAGCCGCATGGTGCCCAGGCGGAGGCGCTTCAGCAACCGAAACGAGCACTTTCTCACCTTCCTCTTCATTTGCACCCTATCGGCCGCTAATTCCTTGACCTTCTGTTCCAGTCCCTGATTGAAAAACAGAACATGTGACAACAGGTAACTAACTGTGAGAACATCTCCACAAGGATACTAACACACGCACAAAACGAGATTCTTGCAACATGGGTTTTCGGAGACTGGCATCAAAACGATGGGCATGAACTTCTAATGCAGCCAACAACCGTCACAAAGCAAACAGGCGACCAAGAGGAAATATGCAAGTAAGGATGGGTGACTGAACTGCGAGCATTCAAGGTTGGAGAAAGAAAATGGGACGAGAAACAGAGCGGAGGGTGAAGACCGAAGAGAGGAATAAACCACGAGACCAAACTCGCATACCATGGAAGTGGTACGTTTGTGCGTACCAAAAGCGCATTCTTTTCGGGAGCGATAGGGAGCGGACTGGAAAGTGAGCGAGAGCGAGAGCGAGAGCGAGAGAGAGAGATAGAGAGACAGAGAGAGAGAGAGAGAGAGAGGGAGAGACAGACAGATGTATACATCACATTCCACCGTGCTTGTGGGTAACACGAGCACGACCCGGCAGCACTCTAC